GACACCCTTTGTGTCTCGGCCAACCGAGACACAAATTGTGTCTTGGTTGGCTGAGACACAAAAAGTGTCTTAGGCCCCGAAAACGCTATTTTTGTTGTTTTTCGCTGTTTCTTCGATGTTAACTACCCTGATTCTGATCCAAAGCCTCTCTAACTGATTTGAAGCTATCTTGGAGCATGGTTAAATGGTTACATCTAAAGATAAGAGCAAATCAGCTATTCTTATCTGAAAACCAAGCTTCTGAAACCTATAAATACAGCCCTAGGGCCTTCATTTGTATAAATATGGAATTCTCGAGCATCGGCGAAGCCCTGTCGAACTGAAGAATGAGGAGCATGAATATCAGAGAGGAGAAAGAGATCTCGACGAGCTATTTAGCATAAAGAGGAAGAGTTCGAGAGATCTACATCCATTCATCCATTTTCTTGAGATCGTACCTAGCTGCGATTCTCGAGAATAGTGATTATTCATATAATGATATAAAATAATATTATAATTTATATACAAGAATGGTCAAACTAGTTTTGATAAAACAAACTTACTTAACATAGTGTTTTAAAATGTTTCAGAAAAAAACACTATGGTACTGTGTTTTGTAAAAAAAGACACCACAAAAGTATCCAAACAGCCCCCAAGTTAGAGACGTTGCTAGTGGTGACAAGAGCACGATGATGACCATGACTTTAGTGACGATAGGATCTAACATTGCCTTGATGACGCCTTGACACGACACCACCAGCAACATGAAAATTAAATGTTTCCTTATTGATCTCGATGAGATCTAGCGTTCCCGAGATCTCGAGCTCCCATGCACTTGTCTCGATCACGAAGACTTGGTTCTTCCTACAGCACGAGCAGAACATATCAAGGGATGGCGTTGTCGGCGCCATTGAGAAGGAGGTGACGAGCATAATGATTTTGCCTTTAGGCTTGAGAACGATCAATTGGACTCCAGCAACATAGGATTTAATAGGCCTCTATTTGTTAGAGATTTTCATCAATATTTTAGTCTATGTAATCTTATGATTTGTATTTTGTTTGTTTCAAACTCAAATTATAGCATTACAAATTTTAAAATTTGAAATCTAGCCTAAATCCTCTCTCAAAGAGGGGATTTCACAAATGCTATAATATATTAGTTTTTTATTATTTGGGTATTCAGTATGCCAAAATTTATTTTGAATCAAACAAAGGTTATGAAATCCATAAACTCAAAAAAACACACTTTTTTATCTTAAAATTTACAATCCACCCAATATCCCAAAAAAAAACACTCCTTAGGACGAGTTTGGGTAATTTTTTTTAAGGGTGGAAAGCTAACATTTTGTCAGAAAATGTCAGCTTTTCACCCAAAAACGCCTTTTGGGTGAAAAGCTGACATTTTCTGACAAAATGTCAGCTTTCCACTCTTAAAACCTCTAAAAAACAACAAAACAAACAGCCTCTTAATGTTTCCACCTAATTAATATTGCCCACGTGACCCGTCAAGTTGCCCGTGCCTTGTATGTCCCCGTCGCGGCGCTCTAGCGATCATAAATTTGACACCAGACCGGATAAAATTAAAATTTAACAATCGGGTAGTTACCATACCCGACCCGACTCGTTAGCAAGCACAGCGATCACGTGCGACGCTCGCGCACGAGTCCCTCTGCTTTCTTCCTTCCCAAGCCAAAATCAGTCCCCTCTTTTTTCTCCCGAAAGATAAAAATTCATCTCTTTCATCAGAATTAGGGTTTCGCTCCCCGCTCCGAGATCTCTAGGGTTTTTTCCAAGTCCTCGCTTCGAATCATGATTCTCGACACCAGCGGCCTCGAATCGCCCTCCCTCCGCCCTTCCGTATTCGACGATCTCAGCTCCGATCTCTCCGCTCCTCCATCCTTCGATCTCCCCGTTTGTGCTGACGTGAGCTCCAATCAACTGAAAACTCTGCAGTAAATTCTGCATACTGTTGTTTTAATCAGTTTTTTTTTGGTGGTTTTTTTGGGTTCAGTTCGATGGGTTCCAGAAGAAAGCGGTTCAAATGGTGAAGCCGGCGAAAGGAACGACGACGCTGGCGTTTATTTTCAAGGAGGGAGTCATCGTGGCTGCTGATTCTAGGGCTAGCATGGGGGGATACATCTGTAAGCTTTATGAGTTCTCATGGAAATAAATTTCTTTTTTATTTTTACTGGTTTGTGAATGTCACCGTAGCTTATATTCAAGAAAATGCAATTTTAGTTTATTGAATTGATAGATCAAGCAACAGGAACACTTTGATTCAACTGAAGAACTCATCAATGTTAAGCAAGAACAACTGCGGACAAAAGTGGGGCAAGTGTCACTAAAAACTAGATAAAGCCCGAATGATAAAAATTAAGTTAGGAAGAAGAGGAATAGGAATAAGGACTGCATTTTTTTTCTCTCAACATACTGAAACCGTAAGTAAGCCCTTGTAGTCAGGTTGGGTTGGGCGATGCAAAGTGGGGTGGGGGGCAGAAACCGGGTCAGCTACGATGTAGGGGTAGGCGTGCATCAGTGCATTTGATTATAAGTTGGTTGGACTGAGGTACTTCATACTTGTAATGGGGATTCTATACTTATTTTATGGCATGGTGATGGTCTTTACTGAAGACTTTGCACAGAAAAGAAAGGAAGAAACTTAGAAGTAGACTGAATTGTAGAGCTATAGGTACTTTATTTTACGTATTAGAACATAATAGAATTTCCTACATAATAGGATCTCATAGAGTCCTGAATTTAATGTTTTGCATGTCTTGTGTTTAGACAAAAGAGGGTTAAATAGTCATTTGGTTAGGATCTTATGTTTAGGAATGGTTAACATGGTTGTTGTCATTGTTTATTTATGTTGTTCACCTTCTTCCTGTATAAACTCGATTTTTTAATACCTTTTTCACGCACTGGCATCCTTGTTTATCTGTATGCTTTTATTGCTTGTGTTAAACCTTGCATCAGATGTTTTACGGAGCACCCTGAATATGATGTTATTTCACTCTGTTTATTTTGCGTAACAAATGTGATTGTGGCGTGAAGGTGATGTGTGCTCAAATATTATAATAATTTCTATTGAACTTTGAATTGTAAATCCTAAAAAATATTGAATGGATGAAACTGATACTAAATTTTGAGCGTGATAAATCTCCACGATTCAAATTTGGAATTAGGATGCATTGAGTTGATGATCCTTGCCAGGATGCTTTTGGATGCAATGTACCTTATTAGAGAGAAGGCCTACCGTGCTGCTTTGTTCTATCTACATAATAATTTGGTTGCTAGATTCCTATTATAATTTAAAGAACAGGTATTTCATTCCATCTTCGCAAATGATGTTCAAGAATTGTCTGTTGCTTGAGAAAAATTGGTGGCCATGAGACACCCTTGCAATCTTGTGGAGGATACCGAGATTAGTACCTCTGATGCCCCTGATTGGATCAGGTTTTCTAATAATGCTTCATGAGCTATAGAAGATGCAATAAGCTATTGTTATTATGTTAAAACTATGGAAACGTTAGCTGTCATGTGCAAATAATCTTGCGCTTGGAGATTATATGAAATGGTAGTGAGAATCTCTAGGTGTGGGGTGCGGCATTAGATATTAACCTTTGACTAGCACTGAAAACTGTGGTCAACACGAGCTTGTAGTTGTAAATTAGCATATGCAATTTTATGTTTTTTAACACACTGATTATATTTCAGATCCATGACATATTTCTGATGACACAAGTTTCTGTATGTTGAGCTTTTGATAGTTTGTTAATCATGGTGAGTGTAGGCAGATTCTCGACAGTATTTTCACTGATGTCTAAAATTATCCAAACAATCTGTTTCAGAAAACAGCAAGTAGATATAGGGAAGAAAGGGGTAATCAGCTATAATCAGTATTGCGATGTATCTTTGGAAAAAAGGGGAAATGCAAACTTCAATATAGTTTATCATTCAGAGGGTGGGAAGATATAGATTTCCAAAACAAGAAACAAAGTTCTCTCATTTATTTTTACATGCCTGGTGCATTCCAAATCCACAGGAAGAGCTTCCTCATTCCTCACTGAATAGTGGATTTAGGCAAATTCAGGAACTGAGAATCATGAAATTCAAATTTCTTGCGACTGAACTGGCCCGGTAGCCAACTCGGATTAGATACCATCTTTTATGCTGGAAGATACCTTGAAACAGATTGCTTGTTGTACCGATGACAAAAATACAATTTATTCACGTAGCTTCAATCTCTATAATGCTCTTGCTGTAGTATCTCTTTATCTGACTGTCTCAATTATAGCTCCTCCCTCTTTGTGCAGCTTCTCAGTCCGTAAAGAAAATCATTGAGATAAATCCTTACATGATTGGCACGATGGCTGGAGGTGCTGCAGATTGTCAATTCTGGCACAGAAATCTTGGTATCAAGGTAAGGTTTAAAATTCACATTTTAATTCTAATAATGAGCTTTTCAGGTGTCACTGCCTGTAGAAATATAGTGAATATAGAAAAATCAATTTAGAAATATAGTGAATATAGAAAAATCAAATTTTTTATCGTTAGTGCTCTGATTCTTGTCTTCTCTAGTGCCGACTACATGAATTGGCCAACAAACGGAGGATTTCAGTTACTGGTGCTTCAAAACTTTTGGCTAATATTCTTTATTCATATCGTGGAATGGGCCTTTCAGTAGGGACTATGATTGCAGGATGGGATGAAACGGTAATAATGCACATAGCTGTAAAATAACTTTTTATTCCATTCATTCTTCCATTTGTGTGATTTAATATCTTCTTTGCATGTTAGGGTCCTGGATTATACTACGTGGACAGTGAAGGAGGAAGGCTTAAAGGGAACAGATTTTCTGTGGGATCAGGGTCACCGTATGCTTATGGAGTGCTGGATAAGGGGTAATTATTTGTTAATAAGTTACTATTTTACCTATCATGATTCAACATCTTATGTGATTTTGTTCTCATTGTAAATAAAAATTACTCTACCAGGTATCGGTATGACATGTCAGTTAAGGAAGCCCAAGAGTTGGCTCGCAGAGCTATTTATCATGCAACATTTAGAGATGGAGCTAGTGGTGGAGTTGTCAGCGGTATGTTCGTTTCTTATCAAAATGAAGTTACCAATATTATTCTGTTAAATCTTTTTGTAACGAATTTGTGTTCATGTGATGAGAGTAACTTTGGGGTTGAATTGAGTGAAGTACTTCGTATTCTGATCCATGTTCCACCTTATCATTTAGGATAAGACTCTTGCTGGGTTTTTTGTCATTGCAAATGTGTAAATCTTTTATCAAAAAATATGTACGGGTTCTTTTCGTAGCACACAATGTTTAAATGATCATGATTCTCTTGTTACTAGACTACTAGTCACTTCGGCATACAATTGTATGCTACAGTAATTAGACTGTAAGATGACATCGTATACAGTAGCCTAGGTTCAACTCATCACTTTTAGTTTTAATTGACAAAAAAGAGAGATAAAGTTATGGCTGCATAAAAATAGTCCAGGTTTCCATGAAAAGTACACCCAAATTGTCGGGGCATGTTAAAATATAAAATTGACCTTTTTTAGATATTAGTCTCTCAAAATTTCAATAATTTTGTATTAGTCCCTCAATATTTGAAATTGCTCATCAGTCCATTAAAAGCTAAAAGGGATCTTGCAATTTGATACCTGAATGACCAAAACACTCCTCAGGTTATTCCCCCCCAAAACTAGGGGTGCACAAAAATATCCGTATCTAAGGAAATATTCGTATACGTTAGGCTATGGATACAGTTACTAAAATCTATAACTGATGGGATATGGTTACACAGTGAAATATCTGGATTTGTAACCTAAATATTCGAAAACATATTGGTCACGCTTTTGCAACAGTTTTAATCCTTAGATTAATGGATTTGAGGTTAATTTTGATGACCAAGACATCTAATCTTAGGTTTTCAGATATAAAGAACATATTAATGAATTCTCTTGCATCATGAATTGTATATATTTTTTTAATATTATCTAGTTTTCTCATATCCGTTTTGTATCCGCATGCATATCTGCTTATATATCCGCATGTATATCCGTTTTCGATTTTAGCGTATATGTTTATGAATTTTTCTTACCGAGACATATCTACATCTGTATTTGTGATTGGTAAGTGGATATAGATATTGTAAGTATCATGTATCCGAGCCGTATTTTGACCGAATGCATCCCTACCCAAAAGCCCTCTGTATCAAAAAAACGTTGGCCGAAGGATATTATGGTCATTAAGGAACCAATTGTAAGATCCCTTATGATTTGGGAGACGTATGAGAAATTTCAAAGATTTGAGGATCTGATATGGAATTATTGAAGATTTGAAAGACTAGTATCTAAAGAGTTTTCTCCTAGAAGGCGCGTTACAAATAGGGTTATCATATAGAAACCGCATTTGAATGTCAATTTACACATAAACCGTCTTTAAAGTGGGTTTGTGTTGCAATCGACCACCTCTCACTCAAATTTTCACTAAAAAAACCAAAAATAACCTTAAAAGTTTCACGTTTAAGGTACATGACTTGTATCCTAATTAGACCTAAACATTAACAAAATGAGTCGTTTGCCTTGAATGTGAGTTTTTAAGGTATTTTTGTGTTCTCATTGGAAAACATTGATCGGGAGGTGGTTGATTGCAATACAAACCCATTTTAAAGGTGGTTTGTGTATAATTGACACTCAAATGTGATTTTTGTAGCATGACCCTATTTTAAAGGTGGTTTCTAAACTATAAATTTATAGCTTTCAACACCCACCATGAATTCGGGTTATTGATGCATTCTTACCATGATATTTATTGTGTTCGCAGTCTACCATGTCAGCTCTAAAGGCTGGGAAAAGCTATCTGGGGACGATGTGGGCGAGCTGCACTATCAGTATTATCCTGTTGTTCCAACCCCTGTGGAGCACGAAATGACTGATGCTCCTGCAGCTTGAGAGGCTCTCTTCGATAATTACAGTTTCGGGAGATTTTATGCAACTCAAGATCTCTAGTCATCTTTCTGTTGAATTCTGCCGCTGTTTCCATCTGTTCAGGCTAAAACTTTGTATCTGTCATCAGATTTGAAAGTGTTTTCTAACGTTTGAATGACATATTATGTCCTTTGCTTTTGTTTTAGCAATAGAGTTGCCGGGTTACTAAGCTAGAAGCAAATGTTATGGATCTGGTTTACGCGTCTTTCACAACTTTGTAGTTGTTCATAATTTCCCTGCTGCATCTTGCAAAAGTGATTTCAGTAAGAAGACCAAAAAGCAATTAGCTAACACATCTGTAAGTGGTTGGCTTTGAATCATGGAATCCTTGTATCTCCTCAGATTTTAAGCAGCTACAGCTTCTGTTGAAAATATTTTAGGTGTGCGTTGAAGAGTTGGACTTGGTTAATCAGATTAAAAAGAAACTATTTTAAAATAAAATAATTAGAACACATAATAATACATGCTCTATTCAATCACAAAATATAAATGCATGTACGTTTAAAGTTGGTTATAAAGAAAACAAAAAAATTTCTCATGCAATTGCATAACAAAATATTGGTTGCTTCGTAAAATGTAATTCAAGGGTTTAAAACTTTGTAGAAATGACCATCATCATATTTATAATCCAATCTGTGACAACATTTTTCCTTTCATTTACATGCTACCCCTCAAATTTAATCGCTTGACTACTTTCTCGAACATCCAACATCTAGTTTAGATTAGATGATAAGGGGGGAAGAGACAGTTTCCTTTGGGAAGAGGAAGTTAATAAGCTAATTAATTCAATTAATTATTCTAACACATCATACACATAATCTTGCCACCTCAGCACCACATGGGATTAGTACGGAAGTCATACAAGTAGTATAGTTATCATTTCTCTTATTCCAAACGATCGATCTATTTGTTAATTTACTTCCTGTCACAATCTCGAAATGGTTAATTAGGGGCTACGTTTCAAATGTCTTAGTGTCTTTTTTTGTCTTTTTTGTTGCCCTTTTTCTTTTTTACTTGAAAGTTCTCAGTGCATTGTCTGTTCATGTAGTCCTTCGAATTCATAATACGAGTAGAAACACCCCTATCTTTGGCATAGTTTGTTGTTGCATCAACGTCTAGGTGTCGCAACAACATCCAACCATACAAGATAATTCAAATTTTAATGTAGTTGAAACAACACAGGTTCCAACTACACCAAACCAAACACACCCTAAGCTGAATTAGACCCCTTTATCAAAAGTATATTGTCAAAAGCACGCCCGCTTTTGCTCATGTGCCTTTTATCTCATCTCCCCGAATAAACGTAGTTCTGATAGGATTTCTACTCAATTTGAAGAAGCAAATCACCTAGCTTTTATAATTATACTCTAGTACAGCATGTCATTTTTCACTTCTTTAGACAACTTGTAGAATATAGAATATTACATTTTTTTTATCGCGGCAAATAATCATCCATGTATAACAAATAAATAAAAAACCAAGTAAACACATGCTGATCAAGATTTGCTCAACTTCTGTCCTCAAAAGCTTCATGCTGTTTGTGCAACCCTCTTGTACACCTGTTAAAGCCTCAAATCTGTGAAGTGAAGGACATGTCAACATACCCCAATGTTTGTGGTAGTCTCTGAGAATCACCTAATGTTTATTTCAACCCTGTTGAGTTCAAATCAACAAGGCAAGGCTTAGAGCATGGAGAGAAAGCAATATTAATTTTTTTAACGATTAATTAATGAACATTCTTACAGTTTGGACTGTGTTCTGCCAAGAGGAACCTGCAGTGCATCATAATGTCCATATCCATGGTAGAGTACTCGGATCGGGTTATCTGCGCCGTACTCCTGACCATACTCCGATATAATCCTAAGGCCATCAGAGCCTTCTTTGTACATGTAGACGGTGATCGGCGCCCTATAAATAATAATGTGTTTCATGAAAAAATTAACATGGAGAATGTCAGGGAAGAATAAGACGATGGGGTTATTTCCATCTTAGTCCGTCAAATCTTTCATATTTTCGGATTAGCGCCCATATCGTTGGAATCGCGAATAGGTACCCCAGGTCGTATTAAGTACTTTGAAATTGATCCCTCCATAACAAAAGTCATCCCATCTGTTAACCATCGTTGGGTTAGTGCTTAACCGTGGATGTGTAAATTAGCAAACCACCCCTTGTTAAAGAACCGTTGGGGGTAGATACAGTGTTTAAATTGGGTTGGGTTCGGGTTTTATTGAAACGGGTTGGGGTGTGTAAAAGGACATTAGTTAAATGGGTATGGATTGGGTCCAACTATTCACACTCCCAAACAGTAACTTTGGGGGTGTGTGAGGACTAAATTGCCCTTCTCCCACCGGACAGCCAATCCTTTTTTTGTGGGCATTTTCGGCAATCCAACTCCCAAAATTACTGTTTGGAAGTGGATATAGCAAACATGGTATGGATTTGGGTTTATATTAAAAGAAATATAACTGACATTCCACCCCGAAACAATTTAGGCTGAAGGAATATTTTTCCTACAAATTTGAAAGGCATATGATTTGGGGACTTACAAATAGCAATTTCAATGATTTGGGGGATTAACATCATAATAAAAAAACATTTGAGGGACTAATATTGAAAAAGCCCTGAAAAGAAAGATGAAAGAAGAAAAGATTATCCTTGTGCTCACTTGAGAACATGAGAACACATGAGCAGCTCAGGCTCTCCACCCCAAACATGAGGCTTCCTCATTTGCGTGATGTATTCATTAAAATCACCCTCGAGAAACCTGCAATCGAAATAAATCCTCGAGGTCAGAATTGCATGATTAGGATACAATTAAAACTGGGATGCCATAATATTGATCAGTTGATGAATGGATTTTTTTCCCCACTTTTTTTGGAATATCTTTCGTAGTAAAATTGAGAACAAGTTGACACCATTTCTTATCAATCTCGTAGTTCTATTGAAATGCAAACCCTGTGCAAACTTTTTAAGATATTAAAAGGGTTAATTGCGGATAGATCCCCTATACTGTTGCCAAATTGAACTTAATCCTATAGTTCTATTGTTGTAGATAGACCCCCCAGAAAGAGTTGTATTGCTGCAGATGGAACCCTAAGTGAAAGTCTATTGTTGCAGATAGACAACCTGAAAAAGGGTCTGAACAATTTCACGGTGATATCCAAAAGTTTTATCGTTATATTAAGTTTATCTTTTTGGGCTGTATGGTAAAAAAAAAAAAATCAAATTACTCTTATCATTATCTCTCTCTCTCTCTCTCTCTCTCTCTATATATACCCCGGCCGAGTCGACTAATCAAACACTCCACTCGACAACCCATTGGCCGACACCTTGCGAGGACAACTCGAAAGGCAATACTTCTCGACCACCAGATGAATAGAAAGACGACGAAACGCCTTGAGCCTCAAGCCCCTCCTGTGCACTGATGACCAATCATCTCTCCATAAATGCCATTAAATGCATTATGTGTGCCATCATTCATCTGTCTCCAATAGTATTTATGACACATTGGACCACGTCGGCACCGCACCTCATATCACTTCGCATTAAACCGAAGTGACCTCTCCTCCACTCCTCAGCCGATACCTGTAAAGATGAAGCTGACTTCACCGCCAGCCCATGCTCGGCCAAAGTTACCATCCTACCCTCCTTCTACTACTACAAAAGGAGATACTATTTTCTATTACAGGGTAAACTTTTTCCACCATTCTCTGAACTTAAGAACTGCTACAGTTTCTTTTACTTCTCCACACAAGGCACCCACTGACTTGATCATCAGAGGAACAACCGGGGAATCACACCCCGCCCTCTTATGATCTATTACTTGTGTAAGGAAGTACATATTACCCTTAGAGGACATCCGTCAACACATTTAATCTCCTTTCATTTAACTGTATGATTCCATACATCAACAGTTTGGCACCCACCGTGGGGCCATCTTTCTTATTCAAAGAAAATCATGTCTGACTCTGGGCACATGCCTGATCAACTTATCCTTGGAGATCCACAGTCAAACTACGTCACACAGGCTCAGCTTGAGGGAATCCACCCAACGGATCACTCAAGCCTTCTAGCAGCAGTTCGCTGCTTTCACTGATAATCTCCTCCAGCGGATTGCTCCTCCCCAGTTCGCTCACTTTGCTACCCCTCCGCCATTAGAGGACCAGCCTTCAGCGACTCACCCTCTTGACAGGGCCTAGCTAAAGGCTCCCCCGCCTCTGCATGCTGCCATACTGGACAGCAGAGAAGCTGCGTCGAGCACACGTATCCTCCTCCGTGCTAGCCGATTCGCCAAGTTGATCCTCAACACTGCAGCCCTCCATACCCTGAGGTGACTGGGGAAAGTTCTAGCCCCGATCGCGATGGAAGGGAGCACACCACCATGGGAGCTCGGCAAGATCCCCAGCATCATCACGCCTCCCAGGGCCCCTCAGCTACCTATGTGGCCTCCGGCTAGGGGTGCCAAACCGTATCCGTATCCGAGGAAATATCCGTAACCGTATCCGTTAGGATACGAATATGGTTACTCAAATCTATTACCGATAGGATATGGTTGCGGACATGGTTTTATAGCGAAATATCCGTATCCGTATCCGAAAAAATCCGAATACATATTGGTATCACTCTTACGATAGTTTCGATTCTTAGATTTTGGATTTGTGGTTAATTTTGATGATCAAGATGTCTAATCTTAGCTTTTCAATCATAATGAACATATTAACGAACTCTTTTTGTATCACATGACTATATTTTTCTGAATATTATCTAGTTTTCTCATATCCTTTTTGTATCCGCATGCATATCCGTTTATATATCCGCATATATATCCGTAACCGTATCTGATTTTGGCGGATATGGATATGAATTTTTCTTACCGACGTATATCCGTATCCGTATCCGTATCCGAGATGGGTAAGCGGATATGGATATGGTAAGTGTCATATCCGAGCCGTATCCGCTCCGTTAACACCCCTACCTCCGGCTATGATCAGACTTACCGACTAATAGCCGAAGCCATTGGGAGGAACACTCCTCTCACCGGAAAAATCATGAATGCCGCCTGTGAGAAGTTTAAGATGCCTTAAGTAGAGAAGTACAAGAGTGAGGGAGACCCTACGGAGCATGACCAGAATTATTATGATATGATGAGCATGTTGTAGATGTTCGAGGCCATTATTTACAGGTGTTTTCCCATCACTTTATTGAGAAGTGCCAAACTCTGGTAGAACTCCCTGGAGAAAAAAAAAATCCATCGGTAGCTTTGAGCAGCTTAACCAGAAGTTTGTGCACTACTTACTGGATGACACTAAGAAAAAGTTTCCTACCCCACGTGCTCATTCAGATGTGGCGGGAACTTGGAGAGAGACTCTGAAGTAACTTCAAGAGGTTCTAAGTAAAGCGGCTAGAGGTCGACGACCCAGGGAGCACAGTCGCTATGTCAACAATTGTAGTTAGCCTAGCAAATAATGAGTTGGCTGACTCACTCGCCAAGAAGCGATGCTCTACCTATGAGCAACTGATGTCCAAGACTCATAGGTACATGGACACGGAAGATGCCCGAGCCTACAAAAATACTACCCGAGCAATAGAAGCGCAGTGGTAGCAATGACAACACCAGCAACCCTAACAATATGACAATGGTTCTAGCTTCAACAACTCATGTTGCACCAACCGTACTATTGATATCTCCAGCAGCCCTGAGGACCTAGCCGGTATGGGAATCAGCTAGGGATCTCCTTCCGAGACCCGAGTCGACAAGTCGTCCTCCCAAAGTCGATTCTCGTCCAAACCGATTCGATAGGAGGGACTGAAGGAGGGAGCAGGCACCAAGACCAGCCCTCACTGTCCTCAACACCTCTCTCACCAATGCCCTCTACATGTTCCAGAAGGAGGTGTACCTTAACACGGCTCCCCCAAGATGAGATCGGACCCTCAGAGTCAGAAAACCCAAAAATATTGTCGGTATCACCGAGACCACGACCACTACCTCACAAATGATTGTCCTCTGGAGGGTCATCAAGGATTTGATCCAGAGAGGGTTTCTGAAGAAGCTCGTCTCCCAGCAAGACAGGAGAGAAGGCGCCGGTGGGGAAGCCCATAGAAGGTCTCGCTCTCGGTCGCCTCGCCCCCAACTATAGCCTAAAAATCGATCCCCTGAACCCAGTCATAAGGGGGTCATCAAAAGCATTAGCGATGGTCCCACTGTGGGAGGACCGTCCAACAACGCTCGTAAGAGATATACTAAGCGAGTGTTGAGGGTGAACATGTGTCACAAGAAGACAAGAGCTGAAAAGCACATATCCTTCAGTGATGCTGACTTGAACGACATAGAGACATCCAATGGCGACCCTATTGTCATCATGGCCAACATCGATAGCTTCCAAGTCAAGAGGATCATGGTCGACACAGGGAGCTCGGTCGACGTTCTCTACATCAATGCCTTCAATCAGATGGGCATTGATAAGTCCTGATTGTACCCATGTCGGGGGTGGATCATCAATTTTACGGGGCATGCACTCCAACCCGAAGGGATGATCACGCCCCTCCTGACGGTCGGAGAGTACCCCACTGTTTTGGTCCAATTTGTGGTGATGGACCTCAGATCTGCCAACAATGTCATACTTGGTAGAACCACCCTAACTCCTGCGAGTTGTCCCTTCCACATACCATAAAATGATGAAGTTCCTAATCCCGAACGGGGTCAACATTGCCAGGAGCAATCAAAGGGAGGTCAGATCATGATGTCTGCTCTCGACAAAGGGCAAGGGAGTGCAAGAGACCCTCCCCATCGAGAAGGCATGCCTCCAAATGGAAAAGGCGCTAGAGCAGGAAGGGACGACGCTAGTAGAAGAGCTACAGGAGATACTGATCGACCGAGAAGGTTTGAACAAGGTCAAGATCGGATCCGCTCTCGCCGAGCCCTAGTGAAGAGAGATGATTGTGTTCTTGTTAGCAAACACGGATGTATTCACCTGTGGTCCAAAAGACATGCCCAGGATCCCTCCCGAAGTGATGAGCCATGAGCTCACAGTCGATCGACAAACTAAGTTGGTTCGACAGAAGAGGCAACATATTGACCCAGAGAGGCAGAATGCAGCCGTAGAAGAAGTCGATCGGCTACTAAGAGCTGGTTTTATTTGGGAAGTGCAATATCCCGAATGACTGTCCAATGTGGTGCTGGTGAAGAAGACTCTTAACAAATGGAGGATATGTGTAGACTTCATCGATCTCAATAAGGTCTGTCCAAAAGATGGCTACCCCCTTCCCCGGATCGACCAGCTTGTTGACGAAAGCACAGGACTTTTTGAACTGCTCAGCTTCATGGATGCCTTCTTTGGCTACAATCAGATTCGCATGGCGGAACATGATCAAGAGAAGACTTCATTTATTACAGACTAAGGGACGTATTGTTATAAGGTGATGTAATTCGGTCTCAAGAATGCTGGCACTACCTACCAATGGCTTGTCAGCAAGATCTTCACGCACTAGATTAGCCAAAACGTGGAAGCCTACATAGACGACATCCTGGTAAAGTTGAAACGGTCATCGACCCACATAGCCGACCTTGATGAGACGTTCTCTATTCTTTAGCGCTATCACATGAAGCTCAACCCGGTCAAGTGCGCCTCCGGGGTTCAATCGGGGAAATTCCTTGGGTTCATGATCACCCAGAGAGGCATTGAGATCAACCCGGAGAAGATAGTCGTCATAGAGCAGCTACCTGAGCCCGGCACATTAAAGGACATCCAGAGGTTGAATGGAAAGATAGCCGCACTGGGTCACTTCCTCTCCAAACTAACCAAGAGGAGCCTCCCTTTTCTCAAAATTTTGAGAGGAAACAAAGAGCTGAAGGAGAGCAAGAGCTCGATGGCAGAATGCAGCGCGGCCTTTAGAGACCTCAAGACCTACTTGAGCACCAAGCTGTTGCTGAGTCAATCCAAAGAAGGAGAGACCCTGTATCTATACTTAGCCGTTTCTCCCAAAGCCGTCAGCTCACACCTGGTTAGTGAGGAGGATAACACTCAGAAGCCTGTACATTACGTCTGCCCAATGATGTCAAGAACTCATATGCAAGAAAGACTACAAGTAGTAGATGCAAATTAGTGGTACAAGAAGGTAATAGACACAAAAGATACAAATAAAGTTGTCTCTGTTGTCTCACCATTCTGTGTCTTCTCGTCTTCTGATAAATTCTTCAGCAACCTGTCATAATAAACGTAATACGTGTGCCCGTAAGTTATGGGTACATAGAATCATTCATAGTGACACCAATGGAAAAGCCAGAGTAATGGAGTTTGAAAGGAAGATCTAAAATTGGTAAATTTCATTAAAAGTACCATAAGCCTTTTTATCAGAAAAACCTACATGAATTTTTTTTTTCCACTGTACTTTCCCGCCTGACCGTCTGGGTAAGTTTTCATATGTTTTGCATGTCAGATATTTTTGGGCACTTTGGCTCTCATGTACTTTAGCTAACTTCTAATTTCTATAATACCCTCTCCCTCTCTCTAACTTTCAACTAGCTTACTCCTTTTATCCAAGCCATTACCACCACCGGCAACAATTTTCAACAGTTCACAGTATTTGTCTAGTTTTGGAAGTTCATGGCAGTTTTCTCTAATAATAATAATAATAATAATAATAATAAAGTTTACTTGTTTTTCTCCTAAATAGACAATACCCATGAAAAGAGAAGTTCATTTCATAGACAAATGATACAAATCACTTGCATTAAGTGACATAGCTATATCTTGTGGCTTGACCTGACCTGACTATCCTGGCATCAAAGTACAATTTAAGGAGAGGTAAAGTTGAATACTTTCTCTCTCAACTCGTCTGCCAGTAGTTTCTGAAGGCTCTCGCTTGGAGACGGTTTACCTGCTCTCAATTGGGCACCATGAGCCACTGATCTAAATAAGCATCTTCCATCCCCAGGAATTCCTGGAACAAGATTACATCACTATCTGATTCAATAATAATAAAGTCGAGCTAGAAAAGAACTAAAATGACAGTAAAAATTGCAAGCTACACTGTAAAATTTGTGGGTGGGAAATCTTTACGAGCCTACATGGACAATATACTTGACCAAAAGGATTTTCTACTTCTTTCTTAGTCATTGTAACAAAATAATGTTTCTCCAATGGAAATATACTCAACAGATAGTGTGTTCTCCTCCTGAGGCATCTACGGCAACAATGAAGCATGTTTAAGTCTTGGTGAATTGCTAAGTTAAGGTTAGTCGTGATAAGAGCGTGTAAGTAAGGAACCTAAAAAGACTCGCACTCAAAAGCTAGTTGTACGTTAAAGGAAGTTAAGGAGGGATTTATAAGATCCATAATTGACTCCCTTAGTCGATGGATCCTAATATACCACCATGCACGCTTCCATGGTCTCGTTGCCTATACAGATCAGTTTGTAGTAACCTTTTCCCACTCTAACATAGCAATCCTGTCATTACCATGTTGGCTTTGCACTAGACTAGTCCCGCGTAACCACTGCAATGCCCGCGTAACCGTTCATGTCGCTCCCTTGCAACCTGAAGGGTGGGATTGATCCTGATACCATTTTTAAAGGACCTAGAAGAGCTCACCCCTAAACAACAACTGTTCATTGAAGGAGCCAAAATCCTTGTAAGTATACTATTGACTCCTGGTTTAGTGAATGTTGAGGAATCTAGATGCTTCATAAATCATAAATGACAGAATATAAAATTATAACCCTCTTAACCCTCATCATCACACCGAAGTATTGGTGCAGTGACAAGGATCTTGGACATGATACTAGAGCAATCCAGATTTGAATTTTACTATCCAAGAATTTCTAAAGAGAATTATGAACAAAAAACAACTCTTTGAGTTTTGGTGGGGTGGTAGGGATTGAGCAACCTAGATTCAAATCTTGTTGGCCACATATTTATAAAGAGAATTTAAAAGACTACGGAGTTATGTTGTAGTCTGTAGTGTTACAGACTATACCATTAAACACATAATTAACTCCTCATTAGTCAATATGGAACTAAATGTCCTCTAACAGAGCCATATGGATCGGCAATTATCGTATATCAGTTGAGAGAATTAGCTTCCATCGATCTGACGCGTAAATTCACTTTGAAACCTATGTTTTCGAATGAAACTCAAGAAGCTCCCAGTTGCAAGTCCAAGCTACTTCAAGCTCCCAGGCTCCATTCTAAACATTAGTCTAAGAAATCTTAGTCCCGATCCAAAAACAAGAAATCAGCTTAATTTCAGTAACGAAACTCAATCCAAACGGAAATGTTTATAAGAAGTTTGATAAACTTCATGTTGGTTAAGAAGGCATGTCATGTGACTCTGACACATTGTTTGTTAAGAGCATTTCAGGGATTTAAATAAAAATTTATCAATAAATATGTCAAGATAGTTGACTGCTATTCAATTAGTACTGTCACCCTTTTTTCCTGTTAAAAAAAAAAACCCACAAGATTATAAAGTGTTATATATATAGCTTTCGAATGATTGCCCCTCCCTTTTATAATTTAAAATCATTTAAAAAAAAGTGTACATATACGTTGGCGAAATTTGTGTAAATAACCACAAAAGATTATACACAGCAAGAAACAGATAAATAAATATCACTTACCTACACCCTTTTCCATTGAAACAAAACTAAACAGTGGGTCATCAACAAAACCCCAAGCCAAAATATGGGTATATATAAATAAATAAACAAATATTATAAAAAGAGGAGAAGAATTGAAGAGAGAGAAAGGAATGAAGCAGTGAAGTGAAGGGGAGGACATACTAACGGATCGCATCTAAAACCCCGGAGGCGCAGTGAAGGATCCGAACCCGATAAGGAGAGAGAAGCCATGGGGGGGGAAGGGATTTGAAGAAAGGCCATGATAACGGAATTGGAATCCAATTCCATGCTCCCTGCTGCATTCGGTTGCTTTTTTGTGGCCTGGTACTTTCAGAGTGGGAATAATAATAACTTCCTTAATTCGCCGTATTGACTCTGGAAAAGCTAGTGCGCCAACGGGTCGAATATAAGGTCTTATCGAAGTTAGTGCGCAGACGGGTTGGATGTAGATCATATCATAGTTCTTCATTAAAATCGGATACGGATATAGATATGTATATAGTTCATCGGACACGGATACAGATACGGTTAATGAATATAGTTTGACGATGAGGATCCATATATGGAAATAAAAATGTGCGTACATATCTGTTGAGAGTAAATCCCCAAATAAAAAATAATAATATAAAACCATAAATATTATTAAGATAAAGTATTTAACCTTTTATATCAGTCGATAGAGCGATATATCGGCCAATATTTCATATATTACCTATAAGAGTCATATTTAAAGGTAATTTAGATAGCATTTCATTGATTTTAAATCTCCAATAATTCTACATTATTCTCTTAAAATTTTAAAATTGCTTATAATTTAGGTACTAATATAGAATTATAAAATATTTGAGCTAAATTTAAAAGAATAGTTAATTCTTTGAAAACTCTCTCAAGTATGGGGAATGTCTTAAAAAAACTACTCAACTAATTTAATTTGATAGAGCCTCCTAACTATAGAGGTGTTGTAGATAACCTCTCACAACTTTGGTGCGATTTTAGAAAACACCATTCGACTTAGCATATCTTATAAAAACTCTCATGGTCTTTTACACAACTCTTAACAAACCCCCTTAATGTAAAAGACTTTAGAAAGTGATTTTGTCAAAATACCCTATTAAAGAAAGTCATTTTAGTTAAAAGAAATTTTCAACCGATAATAAAAGGATTACGACCAATTTATAATTCTTTTTACCTCTAAATCTTCATTTTTCTTTCATCTAGCAAAAAACCAAGCTAATTCTTTTATGGTTGATGGATATTTTGGTCCAAGTCAAGTACTTATCACATAATGAATTCGACTTAATGATATTAGTTTTGAGGGGTTAATTGAGAAAAGTTTATAGTGTTAAATCAAAATTTTAAAAAGATGAGATAGATTAACTATAACACCCCAAATTTGACGAACAAACATTTACTCATTTCAAGTAGTGGGTTAACATTTTCCCCCTAGTTGAGGGGAAGTTTTCTAAAATTAACCCTTAAACAAAGCACAATTTAAGACACATGTGACATCAATCTTATAAGAGTGAATTTTATAGCAAATCTATCAGTATCTCTGAAAATCTTTTGCTACAAAATTCACAGAGAGAAATTTAATCTTTATTTGGGATGACTATGTGATCCTTATGGTTCTCCTTATCTTTTATGATTTGTAATAAATTATTTAACAAAATAAATTAAGTTGTTCATTCAATATGTCTCACCTTTATGAAACATACAGTTTGGATATGAGTGTTATTAGATTCTTTTAATTCTTTAGCTTAAATTTTTGGATATTTTTTAATATTGGATAGATCTATATTATTTTGTTAAAATACAATTCATATATGTACAAAATATGTTTAAATCATTCTCAAATTATATTTTATAGTTTTCTAAAATTAGAGTGTAATCGTTTTGACAAACAAATTAATTAGTTGAGAAGATGTAGGAAGATTATAATATCAGTTTTTGAAATTGATCACATAATTTATATTTTCTTTCTTGATTGAATTTGCACATTCTAACTTTGAAAATTTTATAAAAAAAGTTTTTAAATATCTATAATACTCGGTTGCCAAATAATAGAAAGTAAGTAGACAATAGGCGCGAGTGATTTCTTTATAATTAAACAAAATCCTCTATGACTAGATAAATCTATCATTTTACGTTGATGAATTCAAGATTTATTTTTTCATTAATAATAATAGTTTTTTAGATATTGGTGCTTAAATCATTAATATTTTAAAATTAGAATTCTAAATCATTAAATTGTTCTTAGATCATTAATATTTTAAGACTTTAAACCTCACTGATTATGTGTAAGGTAAAGTGTTGAAACCAACAAGATTTTATATATTAAAATATCTGAAACTTTTTAATATATTATGATAATCATAAATATTTTTGCAACTATGTTATAATAAATACATAAACTAAAAATTAACAATTATAATATTTGACCATGTGCATTGCACGTGCATTCCACCTAGTAACTCAAAAATATCACTTCGTGTAGCAACATGTAAGAGGTTGGATAAATTAAACAGTTCTGCAAAATAACTCAACAACATGATTCGTATAGAAAAATACAAGAGAATGGATAGACTATATATCTCCGCGGAATAACTCAGAAACATGACTTGCATAAAGAACCCATTAGTCTCAGTTAAAAAAAGGAGAAAAGATGAATGTCAAATCCGTAGCAGCGGTTTCCTAGGGGAAACATAACGATGTCCGTTGCGCTCAAAAAGTGCAAAATATCTCCTGCTCACTCAAAAGGACATTCTTATACACAATCTCTAATCTCAACCCAAAATTGCATTGTGATGTACAGACAATTTATGCAATTCTTTATGCCGTAAATGTTACACATTACCTGCAAAGACGGGGAACAAAATTCTAAAGAAATAAAATGACTGGTACTCTTAAATTCAGTTTCTTAACTAATGTTGTCCTTGTCACAAGATAAGTCGTTTTTCTACCAATTCTGTAAAGAATCCCAAACTATTATACAAGAAAAATAGAAATTGGAAACGTTTGGGCTGCTGAGAACCAAACTTCCCACCACAGTGCTTCATGAAGTCTTCTTCATAGTCGCTGCCCTCCAAATTTGTCTTCATTATTTTCATAAAATTTTGTTCGTCAAGAGGAAAAGACAACAGTGATAAATCTGCTACGGATGAATCACAGTGGCAATCAGCACCAACAAAAGCCCGTAGAAGTTCCATCATTCCTCGGAAATGGACACGAGTCTGCATCTTTCTCAAAGGGCAATTCTCAGTGCAACAACTTCAGCTATCTTCCATTTCCAGGTGAGTTATCGGAGGATTTACCTCATTACCACCATGTGCAGAGTAGACTTCTAGCTGATCCTCCTATAGGTTACATAACTGTACAAAGAGATCTCAACACCCTGCAGAGAGACCATGAACTTGATATCCCTGTTTCTATACATCAAATATGCCATCAAACCGAACAACAAAGCATCCCACAATCTACAAACCAAGTATGCAGAATGGTATTTCCAAGTCATATTCAAATATCACCATACTGATAATTGAAGTATGAGCAACTTTTCACCGCATATCCCTCGATGCACCAAGTGCCAAGATGTTCTCGCATGCCTTTACCGGTGAAAAATCATAGTTCAAGTTCCAATGGAGGCAGAAGAAAGGGAACCATCTCTCAGCTGCTGTAGTAAAAGTTGCAAAGTTTTCTGCAGGGCGTCTGCAACTAGTCTCAGCCTACCTTGATTAACATCTCCGGCAGAATTCCCATTTGCAAATTCCACTACTCTAATAAGCCTCTGCTTGCATTTCTCCCAGTCCTCAACCCGTGACCAGCAAGCTCTACCTCCATGACTCCCACTCATTTCCAGAAAAGAAATGTTTGTACTATCCCCAAATGAGTATTTAAGCCTCACAGAAACACAATAAGGTAACCAAGCAGCTCCCCCAGCAGCATTTATGTGAGGTATATGAGCGTGGTCAAGGACAAAAGTTAAGGCAAAATCCAATGAATTATGAGCTCGGTCATAATGGATATTACTCCTCGATGCAGATGAGACTTCCGAGTTGTCGTCTCCTGAATGATTCTCAAGGCACAACTCGATTCGAGCTCTTTGGGCTGAGGTTACATCTCCATTATGTGCCTGAGATAATGATTTCTTCCAAGAAATTAGTTTCAGGAATTCTCTGAGGATTGAGATGGGGAGAGTGAGAAGGGTGATGAAAGATGCGACTCTGGAGGCATCGTATGGCTCTGAAGCTACTCGCCGGCTAAAGTAGTCGGAAATCTCGCTGATCTCGGATGAAGTTAGTTCTTCATGAGCGCTGGTTTGGCCTTGCTGTTGCTGAGGATGGAAACGCTTCACACTCAGGACTTGCAGAAGGAGCTGGACTCTGTGAACGCTTACAGCAAATACATAGCTCCTGCAAATGAAAAGAGCAAAATGAGGTCTTTGATGCCTTGTTGAGGAAAGTTATATAGGATATGCAGTTAACACAGAAGGTTTTCAAAGAAAGTAACAAGAGAGTAAATATTATCCACTTTAGCTACTCACTACTCACTCAGGACTTGCAGAAGGAGCTGGACTCTGTGAACGCTTACAGCAAATACATAGCTCCTGCAAATGAAAAGAGCAAAATGAGGTCTTTGATGCCTTGTTGAGGAAAGTTATATAGGATATGCAGTTAACACAGAAGGTTTTCAAAGAAAGTAACAAGAGAGTAAATATTATCCACTTTAGCTACTCACTACT